AAATTGCTAAAGCGCTAAAAGTCTTAGCCCCCTGCCCCCCCCCATTCTACTCTTATTCGGAAGCACGTTCCCTAAACACCGAATCTTGCTCAAGAAAACTACTGGACTTTTTTCAAAGAGCCTTAATCGGTGAATTATCTAATTTCGATTCTAATATTTTCTGTCACCTATAATCCTACTCCACTACTCCTGGGATGTTCCACTTTTCCGCCAAAATCGACTTTCAGTTTTCCACCAATACATATTATAATATGTTTAATTTATATTTCCAACAGCAATACATTTTAGGTTTTAGATTTTGGTAATATCATACTAAACATATAGTATTTTATTTGATAATATTATTAGTTATTGCAAAAATAATTAGTTGTAGTGGATAATAGAAATGTGGCGAGTGGTGGCAAATGGAATCGGCTCAATAAAAAGTAAAGTTCAAAGTGAAGGTGTACAAATGACAATTTGCCAAAAGAAATTCAAAACAGAGTGTGAAATACTTAATATTATTAAAGGTGATCAATCTTTTCATAAAAACTATTTAATGATTTATAGAATTTTAAAAATATTTGATTTTTGCATATCTCACCACTTTTTATTGCATCGAAATCCTAGCACTAGTTATAGCACTTCATCAATATATTATTATTATTTTATTTTATTTGAAATTTTTGACGGTGTGCATACTTGGACTACATAATTTAAGGTTTGATGGTCGCTTAGTTGCCGGGTGTGACAATCAATTGTATACGGCGCTGGTGTTAGACCAATAACAAGCACGTAGGTGTATAACGTGTTTTTTTGTGGGTCTGAAGAGTGAAGATATTATTTCAGGGGCTGTCAGTTTTTTATTTTTATTTTCTATAGACAATGTATTTCCACCCTGATGATCAAATAGCAAAAAAAATTATTTATTAATTTTAAGCTTTTATCGGAAATATTTATATAAAAAACGAACTTTTATAAGTAATAAGCTCAATATGCCAATAATAACTGTAGTTTACGTGTTTATGTATCTTTTTCATTAAGGTTTATTTTTATTAAACTGAATGCCTTATTATAGAAACTTACGAAATGTTGATATCGGCAAGCAAGACGTGGTAGTGCAATCGCCCGGCAAGCGAGAAACTTTGGTTCGATACCCGATCCGGCGGCTTGATTTTTAATGTTATTTCTCCTGTTAGTAAACAGTACTAAAATAAGTGCTCGTCCGACGTTATTATTGATTTTTAATAATCATACATTGTTATTTAGTTTTGTATTCCATACGACATACATAAATATTTGTCATTAAGAGGCACTCGCAAGTACAAGTCAGTAATCATAACGTACATTACGTACGTCTTTTGGTCATTGATGTATTGGGTAATTATAACAAAAAAAAAAATGTAGTTATCTTTATTAATACGATGAGTGTCACGGTCGACAGGAAGTCGACAATTATTGTTACTCGTTATCTAGGACTGCGGCCGACACGTAGCTATTTCCAATAATATAATAAATAGTAATATTACATAATTATTATTTTTTTTTTATTAAACTCAAAAAATAACATCGACAACAAAGGTCATTAGTTATAAGCACGTTATGAATTGTGATGGTTAGCTACAAAGATAGGCTTTATAATTGGGTTACATTTTTTTTTTTTATATGAGATAGAGCAATTTTGTTTGTTTTATAAAATGAATTATATCTAGGTCCTTCTTTAATTGGGTCCAAGTGCGATGTCTAGGTTACGGGATATCTTGTGCTCAACCCTTTATCGGTTGCACATTTTACAGTCTACTATCAAGTGTTTCACGGCTAACATACCGTTCCACAGGTTTGACCTTAGATCATATACTATATTACATGACCTAAGGGTTTGACAAACAGGTGGTACCTCTCCAGGACCGTCCCTAACGAAATAATAAGGGGGGGGGGGAGATTCATTAATGTGCCAACTGAAAAAAATGTTCTCGCTTCGCTCGACAACTATCTCTTACCTATATGCAATATGCATAGTAATCAGTAGACATATTTTACACCATATTACAAAATATAGAATATTTTACTACCTTTTGTACATATTTTTTCATCACATCAAGATTAGTTTAATAGAATAAAATATTTTTAATAACAAAATTTATAACACCGTTGCATATTGATCATACTATTATGGAATGATTGGAATGGATAATGACACAAGTTACAAAATAACCAAGTATTCAATATCAATATTAATTCAATAGTAAATATTGTTAATACTGACTATATAATATAAGTGAAACAATTTTAGAATCTTATCACTTATTCGATGTCTAGGTGAGACGAGTCACTACAAAATGTTCGCATTAAATAAATAGAAATTATGCAGTCGTCAGCGTACAACAGTTTCTCATCATTTATCATGACAGTATTATTAAGAATAATTCATTGATTATACTTATACGAAAATATAGGAAAATGCGTTTGCTGTTATAAAAATATACCTAATATGTACATTGTTTTGTACTTAAATATTATTATAGTATTTGTGTTGGACAGTTGACAATCGGAAAATTAACTTATATTTTTTCATATTACTATCAATTACAATATATTATTATGACATATTCGTACTTTGTAGTATGTTCAAAATTATCTAAAAATTGTAAAAAAAAAAATTAAAATTTGCCGAGTGTCAACTCAAATAATTAATGCATCAATGTGCCAACTGCATGACATATACATACTGTCCGCTTGGGGGGTACTCCCCCTAGAACCCCTCTTCGGGACGGCCCTCTACCTCACTGGTCATCAGGAAACCGTGAGTGATTCTAGTGTGACCAATAATTATTTTTTTTGTGTATTGTTTTGTTGCTAATCGGCTGACATAGATAATATTCGATTATTTTAATAATGTGTATTTTGCTTGGATGTGTTATAATTTATAACAATAAGCGAGTATTTATGTTCATATATAAAAATGTACAAATTGTATTACTCTAGCTTTTTAAGAAATGTATGAATAATGTAAATGTATAAAAAAAAAATTGTAAAAACAAACATTTTGTTGAAACAATTATAATTAATAAATGAAAAAAAAAAAAATATGTTCATATAGACCATGGTGCATCCTATATTCACATTTTGCATAACGTTCATTACACCTACATTTTGATACCCATTTGTTGACGAAAAAATTATTAATACTAGGTGATGTCGATTATTGGTGTAATAAATTAATATACCGAGAACTTTAATACATAGTGCTAGTTTTTCGTTTTTGATTTCTCTGCGCGGTGAACCGATGTCGACCCGTAGTCAACCGTCGGCGTCGTGCCTTATTAGTTATTAGTTATAGCGCTGAAAAGTACTATAAGTCTATATATACTCATCATAAATACAATAGCACACTAGCACTTCCAGACTTTCCAGACTTCAAACATATTTAAATAAAACAGTTTTATCCTTAAAAGTTGATGATAGATTATAATTTATACAATTTTTAATATTTTAAATCAACACATCATATAGATATAGATAGAGGTACCTACAACCTAGTGCAGTATACTCGTATAATATAAAATATTTATGTCGATTACAATTATTATGCAAAACAATAATTTGGATTTTTTAAAACTAACTATATCTGTGTAATTTACTAGCTCGCACATATATTATTTAATCTCCGATTTGTCGTCTTGTAAATATTATACATTTTACTTGCAATTCAATCAAGAATTTAAAGCACTAAGCAATTATGCAGAATTTTTTCCCATTCATACGCCTATGTTGGTGAACATTTGAAATACTACCTGCGTCCTGCAGGACTTAAGTGGTAGGTTAATTAGTTGAAAAAAATTGTTCAAGATCACTTTTGTACAGTCGAAGTGTCGAATATTAAAAGTACGACACGCGGAGACTTTGTACTATTATAATTTATAGGTATAGGTATTATTTACATAAAGACATAAAGTTAAAGTATATTTAATGAAAACGAGTGTGAAATAATGACCAATCATATTAAAAATGTTATTAAGTTTAATTATAATTTAGTATATATCTAAATAACTATTACATTCCACATTAGAGAATCGTAGGTTACTTATCAATTATAATTGTATCAATATAAATCAAATATAAATATATTTCCCTAGCGCCTTTATCGTTTTGCGTTTATGTTTTACACAGATATGTTCTGTGTTCGCACTGTGACGATAACAACAAAAATTTAAACGAAATTGAGACAAAAGCTCATCAAGATCACCTTTGACTATACGGTATCATGACTGCAGAATTCGAACGATTTAAATTGGAAATGTTCAGTTATGTGTAAAAGGAAAATTCAAAATATCTACAAATCATTAAGAACCTTATTATTTACTTCATGACATTTTTAATTGACTTTTTAATACAGTTTTTTATAATAGATTACAATTTATTATAAAAAACATTGTTAAACCTCACCGAACTTATGTAACAGAGTTATAAGGTCAATTTACGTATGTAGTTTATGTAAATTATAAATATAATATGTAACAAAAAAATAATAATGTAGAATTTACTATTTAATAGTATAAAATGTCCGAGTTATGCATTTTAAACAATGATGGACGGTACAAACTACAAAATGATCGTTCACCAAAAATATGTGATTACCTGAGTATATTATACGCCTTTAATAAATAACAATAAATGTAGGTATATAAAAATGAATTTATTTAATTGTGTTGCAATATATTTATATTATATTTCATACAACTAAAAAGTATGGAACGATAAATAATTTAGGAAAAAAAAGAAATAGTACAACCTTTTTAAGGACAAAAATGTTTAGTCTCGTCAATATATATTATAATAAAGCTTAAATCTATAATCAGTGGCGTAATTCTGAATTTGTTCTGGGGGATCTGTTCCCACCACCCTACACCACTGAAACTAATCTATATACAATGAAACCTCTCTTAACGGACACCTATGTATAGCGAAAGCCCCTCCTCCTACCCCGTAAATGGCAGGCAAAATGTCGGCTGCCTAAAGTGACCGGTATTGAGAGGTTCCACTGTATTTCGAAAAAAAAAACGAATATAATTATAGTGCGCAGAGATCGGCTTTTGCAGTGTGTTAAATAGTCTTCCTGCTCTCCTGTACACTTCCGTTCGTCGGCGGCGGCTGCAGCCTTTTGATGACGCCTTACGACGCGATGTGCGCCAAGTGAAATACGCTGCACACGATGGTGACGACGTTCCCTATTGCCATAAACATGTGCACCTTCCGGAAAATCCTGTGCATGGTCATATAATGAGGGCAGTCGACCAGTCGGCCTAGGTCGCAGCGACCCACTTCCTTACCCAAGCCAACCGCCTTCTCGATGGCCGTCTTGGCGGCGATGAGCCGCAACACCGGCGGCACCACGTACAGCCAGATCGAGAGTTCCAACAGGAAGCACACGCACAACGCGATCAACTGTAATGCGGAAAAATACGCGAAAAACACAGTTATTATAATATTATTGTCACAATTAATTGTGTGTTACTATCAATATTTATCAGATACAGTATTATAATATAATCACGGATTAAACTCCTTTAATTGTAACCGCACGGTTCTTTTATTAGAACGTCTAGTGTTGCTTGGTATGTTTTGTCCAAACATAATACTGCAAGTCTAACAT